GAGGAGCTGGTTAAATGGCAAAAAACGGTCTATGCGCTTTGCTGTCCCAATGGTTTGGAGAGAGCCTACAAATCATATTAATGATTGTTACTTTTGCATGGTACCTTGTGTTGGACAATCCACAGGTATGTCCAAGAAAAAAAATCGGTTATTAACTACCCAAACATACCATCTGCGATGAGACCTGTGCCTCACAGTGACGAAAATCCTATTCCAAAACCCCCAGAATCCTACACTTGCAAATCAGAAAACGAATCAGATCATGGCGATCGAGTGATTCGTCAGGAAGAAGATATGCCATCAACGTCAAAAGATCCTGATTTTATACCGAGCACGTCATGCCACAAACCGCACAAAATAACACAGTCAGAATTAAATGATCTTGTAAGAGATTTAGAACTTCCAAAATGTACGGCATAGTTACTTGGATCAAGACTGCAGCAGTGGAACTTGTTAGAAGACGATGTTTCGGTATGTGTTTTTCGTAAACGCCACAAAGACTTAGAACCATTTTTCAATATGGAGAATAACTTGGTTTTCTGCAGTAACATTAACGGCTTACTGGCGGCTTTAAATATAAACTATAACCCAGAAGAATGGAGATTGTTTATAGACAGTTCAACATTGAGTTTAAAGGCAGTGTTATTGCATATTGGAAATATTTTACCATCTCTTCCTGTAGGGTATGCAGTTCACATGAAAGAATCGTATGACAATATGAAGTACCTATTGACATGCATAAAATACGATGAGCACCAATGGCATATTTGTGGCGATTTGAAAGTTTTTGCACTTTTACTTGGGCTGCAGCTAGGCTACACAAAGTTTTGCTGTTTTTTGTGTGAATGGGACAGTCGAGCAAAGGCACTTCATTACACCAGACAAAACTGGCCTGTTCGTCAATTCCTAGAGCCAGGTCAAAAAAATGTACAGCATAGTAGATTCGAAAAAAATTTTATTACCACCACTGCATATCAAGTTGGGCCTAATGGAAAACTTTTTCAAGGCATTAGATAGAGATGGGTCAGCTTTTCAATACCTGCGTCAGAAATTTCCAAGACTAAGTGAGGCAAAGGTTAAAGAAGGTATTTTTGTTGGGCCACAGATTCGAAATATTTTGAAAGATACACAGTTTGAAAACACTTTAACAGGTATTGAAAAAACTGCTTGGAATGATTTCCGTCTGGTGGTCACTAATTTCTTGGGAAATAGAAAAACTGACAACTATAAAACCCTTGTCAAAAATATGCTGTCATCGTATCAAAAGGTGGGCTGTAATATGTCTCTTAAGATACACTTCCTACACTCACACCTGGACTTTTTTCCTGACAATTGCGGAGCCGTAAGGGATGAGCTCGGCGAACGTTTTCATCAGGATATTTCAACAACGGAAAAAAGGTACCAGGGAAAGGGGAATCCTTCCATGCTTGCAGACTACTGTTGGACTCTTGGTAGAGATGCTCCAGAGACGATCCATAAAAGAACAGCAAAAAGACAGCGCATATAGTGATTCTTATAAGTATATGAATCTTGTAACTTTTTTTAATATATCCTTAAAAATAAAAAGTTATTTTTCTAAACCGCAACTAATTTTTTTATTTCATTGTCATTTTTGGATTCAGCGCCCCAAAATTAACAAAGAAGTGCACTTTTCCCACAAGATACAATTAAAAAACTAAAATTTGTTGTCCAGTGAATGATAGTAATATTAATAGACGTCTTTATTTGTTTACAACATTGCAATGCAGCTAAGGTAAAACTTTAGCGTTTGATACTCTTACATTTAACCATAAAAGTCGCTAGAAAATGTTAATAATAATAATGAAATATTATTCACAACAAATTTAAATTTTCTCTAAAACTGGCATACTTGCCAAAGCCAATTACCGAAAAAAGCAAAAAAGTAAAAAGAATGTTAAAAAAGTAAAAAAAAAAACGTGATTGTGTCTAGTCATTTAAATAATGATGATTTGACTTTTTGTCGTAATGAATATTGTATATGTAATTTTGGTAAAGAATTGTACAGGGTGTTCCTTAATGATATGCGAATATTTAAGGGTGTGAATATACATGTTAGTTTGCTCTATAAACTATGGTCCAAAAATTTTTCCTTAAAAAAACTCGGGGTGTTGAAGTTTTAAGGAAAAAATGGAAATTAATTAATATTTTCAGAACCGCTTCAGATATTTCACTGATATTTAGTACGTAGTTAAAGTTAATAAAGTTGCATACTTTTCAATGCAAAAATAATGTTTAGCTTTAATAGTGGCGTGGATACGGGTATTGACTTCGATATTTTTTAAGAAAAAAATGGTACGCCAATGGTTTTTTGTCAAATAAAAATTATTTTTGAATTCCTCGTTCAATTTAAAATGATCTCTCTTGAATTGTTTTCCTTCGATGTGCCATTTTTGAGTAAAAAAATAAAAACCGTTATATTGTCCGAGGAAATTAATGTAATAATTGAAGAATGTTAATTTTTCAATAAAAATCTAGTTGCTCTGGAATATGTCACTGGCATTTGACACCTGACAAGTTTCTGTTATTCAAATCTGTTCGCTGTGACATCTTTTTCATTATTTAGTTTTTACAATCTTTTAAATAATGGTGAATTATTCAAATGCAGAAATTCAAGAGAGAATTGAACCGGGAATTCAAAAATAATTTTAATTTTTTGCATTGAAAAATATGCAACTTCATTAATTTTCACTACGTACTAAATATCAGTGAAATATCAGAAGCGGTTCCGAAAATATTAATTAATTTCCATTTTTTTCCTAAAACTTCAACACCCCGAGATTTTGTAAGGAAAGATTTTTGGACCCATAGCTTATAAAGCAAACTAACATTAATTTTTCATGTAGATTCACACCCTTAAATATTCGCATATTGAGGAACACCCTGTATATGGTGGCAACATTGTAGGAAATGTTGAAATCGAGTTGTTAAATACTAATAATTCTCCAACTGGCCTAAAATAATTTTTTTTCACAAGTAAGGCGGTTTAGACAAAAGTAATAATTTATGTAGTGATATTTAGCCAAATCATTTATTTTATATCAATTGAGTATTGGATTTTTGATGATACATAATCTAATTTGCTGTGTCCAAAAATAAAATGAAGACAACTATTCTGGATGATTTAAATCAGGTTATTGGTATAGCAGTTTAAATATGGATATGATACTAGATATACTTAATCCTGTATAATCAAGCTGGTGTTGCCTCCGTTTCTAACCTACACATTTTTAAACTAGCAATTATCAAGACAAAGAACATTATTTATAAATTTAAGTTGTCGTTTATGTTGCTTCCAGACGTCGAAAAATGGTTAAAACGCAGTCGTCATTATATGTATACCTACCTACCACAAAGTATTATCCATTTTCACGTAATTGCAGAACGCAATTATTTTCTGACAAAGAAACTCGACGCGAAATAAAGGACATTTTCGTCAGAATGCCATTATAGGCCAGTCAGTAAAGGTTTCAACGTACAAAAAAGTCGTTTTCTGATCACATGTGCTTAAGGTGCGCATCCACAGGTCCGCGTTACACTCATCCGACGTAAAAAATTCTTTCAATAGTAAAAAATGCCATAATTACTTCTTAGCACTTTCATATGACTCAGTAACATAACCTTGTTTTGCTCTAGGCAGCATGCGAACCTAACCTGATTTAAAAGCAGCTAATTTCTTTGCTTTCAAAGATATGACAAATCTGAAAATAGTAAATAAGAGCATTCATATGCTGCTTAACATATTAAACTGAAAATACCAAAATTTGGACTTAACCTAGTCTGGCACTGAGGTACAGATGAGCCTTTAAGTATATAAAAAAAATAATATTTCATACTGGACTGTTTGTAAAGTTAGCGCGCAAACTGAAAACACAATTACGTTTCACACTGTTTTAGACTAGTTAGTGTGTAGCATGTGCTAAATGGCTGCATTATTGATGACTGCATGACTTTGTCAAGTGGGTCTCGTCATCCAGTTTCTTTACAAAGAATGTAATTCTCTGGACCTTTTTTCTAAAAGTATTGATATAGTCTGTTTTCGAAATCTCATAGGACAAATATCAACCAATTGTAGCGAACGGACCGTCTGAAAAATTGTACAAAATGCTTGGTATTAGCGCCTAATATATTATTTAAAGTTTCAGCACTTATTTTTTTTCATGTGGAGAAATAAATGCATCGAAATTCTTATTGATCATAAAGTTATATTTCGATAGGATGTCATGAAAGCGTAAGCGAAGTTTTGTTTTCCGACCGCGTGGGTTTATTTTCGTTCTTTCATGGTTGAAAATCTAAACTAAGACTGAAAATAGTTACAGTGTCGGCATTGCTTTTCCTGGTGATACAGTGGACGCACTCCCTTAAGTTGATCCGTTTCATGCAGTGCGAGCTCATGGACGCGTACCTTAATATGAAAACTACTTTTTTGTCTCCATGTTGACTGGGCTATCATCACGGGGGCAATAATTAATCTAAATGACTAATCGGATCTGACCATAAGAAACGACGATCGTTCTTCGAAACATTGGAAACACCTGCGATTATTGCAATTAGGTAATGAATGGAAATGACAAAGAGTTGTTGCGATGATGTTTTCTGCGGTTTTGTTTCCGAACCGTTGCGTTGCAGGCGATTTATTGTACTCGTAGTACAGCAAAGATAAAAATGTGTTCTGCGATCGTAATTTCTGACTTTACAAATCACACACAGCTTCGTGGTCAGCGCCCAAGCCTCTGTTGCCATTTAGGTCCTCCTGGTTTCTTTAGCTCTTGCGAATTTTTTGAGAGGAAGGGGTCTTGCTACGACACGGTTATTACGTATCTTGAAAAGTGACGTTTTGTGGTTTTTTGACGTTTTTTCAAGATACTCCTGCCGTGCTTTGGGACTACAAGATATTTACGGTTCATTGGCACTATTTCGTACTTTGAGATTCCGTAAAGAATATGCACACAAAATGTAAAAGGATTTTCTTTTGTTTACAGAGAGGATGGACAAACGTTTGGTGTCTATCTGATGATTCCAAGTGTTGAACAAAACGATTTCGGGACGTATGTTTGTGTTATAAGCAAACCTGGAAATACGATAGAGCGATCCGTTTTAGTCAAAGAATCAGGTAAGACCAAGATGATGGTAGGATGTCACGTAAAACTGACACACATATATTCTATACAGGGTGTCCGCAAAGTTGGGGTTGTCCTTTTCAGAAACAACTACCCTTGAAATAACAAAGGTAATGTGTAGTGAAACGATGGCGACCAAGTAAAAAAAAATAAAGGAAAAAGTACTCACTCTCCAGTTGACGAGAAGGGCTAAGTACGTCTCTGCCCGAAATCATACCGCTCCAACAGAAAATGAAATCAGCTGATGCGCTACCGAGCAGACGCAGGCGGTGGTGCAGACCACGAACAGAGGTAACAAATATGACGGCGTTGCCGCGTTTTCAGTTTTTAGGTAAACGTACTTAATAGGTATTGTTCGAAGTTATTGCCGTTTTTGAATAAAAACACAGGTGCGTGCACGACGTAGCCAAGCATCGGTGCAGGCTTTGAGAATGGAGTCCCTCCCCCGAATGAAAGCACCAGCTTGTTCAATTCTGAGACGAAGTTCGTCAACCATATGTACTTCACTTTTGTACATTAAGCGTTTCATTTCTCCCCAAAGAAAAAAATCACATGGTGTTAAGTCTGGAGATCGCGGAGGCCACGCTACGGGTCCATTACGTCCGATCCACCTATTCGGAAATAATTCATTCAAAAGCTCACGCACTTCGCGTCTAAAATGGGGCGGTACACCATCGTGCAGAAACCACATTGATTGTCTTACACTTAATGGCACATCTTCTAACAAGGAAGGCAAAATGTTGCGTAAAAAGTCTAGGTATTGCATCCCGTCCAATCGATTTGGGAGAATAAATGGTCCAATGAGCATACCGTTCACCATGCCAGCCCAAGCATTCACCGAAAATGTTTGTTGAAAATGTGCCCGACGGACAGCGTGCGGATTTTCTACTGACCAAACATGAGTGTTGCGAAAGTTATTCACCCCATTACTTGTGAACGTAGATTCGTCTGTCACCAATATGCACTTCAAAAAGTCCGGATTATTGTCATGTTGATGCAACAACCACTCACAAAACCGTGCTCTTGCTGGAAAATCGTCAGGTTGAAGGGCTTGTACACGTTGGACGTGAAACGGATACAGCCCCTCTTCACGCAGCGTTTGCCACACTTTAGTTTTTGATACTTGCACTTCTCTAGCCACGTCTCTAGTGCTTGTTGAGGGATTCTCGTCTACGCGATTCAGTAGTCCTTCCTCAACTTGCACCATTCGTGGGTGTCTAGGCCTCCCACTGTGCCCGCCTCGAAATTCCTCCAAATGGCCCGTATCCCTGACTCTCTGGACCAGGTACACAAATCTGCGGGGCCTTGGATGATGTCGTCTAGGGAAACGATCTGCATACACTCGCGAAGCCTCTGTAGCATTTTGAAGACATTCGCCATAAATTAACAACATATCAACGAGTTCATTATTGGTGTATGAGTGTGCCATTATTATTTTTTTTTTGAAACGCAATCGATTATACGGGTTCGTTTACCTCTACACGCGTGACCGTAACCGTCGGTTGAAGGTTGCACACTGACCTGACACACTGACCCCGACCCAGTTCTGTCGTCGGGTTGAGCCAGTACCAGTCTGGGATATCGCGGCCGGTCGCGGCTACAGGACGGTATTCAGATATTTTTGATGTTGCAGAGCCCTTTATCTCGGTTCCCTTAAGACATTGGTGTATATGGTACTAAGAAAAATTGCTTATGTTATCAAGATCTACACGTCGTGTAAAGGAAAACCCCAACTTTGCGGACACCCTGTATATTTGTTTTTTTAAGTGACTTTGTCGAACCAAACATGATAGATGGCGCTTCGCGTTTTTTTTTATGGATGTCACATAACACCACCATTTTACATGTCACCTATGCTGTAGAAAGTTCTGATCGGATTTTGATGTAAGTTTGACAAAAGATTACTTGCACACAAAAGATACAAAAGCTTCGTAGATTTCGAAGATCGGTCCGGTGACGGCGGAGCTATCAGCGAAGAACTAAAAATGTCAACACTTGTCAATCCTTGTCTTGATTGTTCTGATTTGTTGTCGTTGTAAAAGACATTGTGTTGGACATTTGACTGTTGACTTCTTTTTCAGAGGTTGTAAACTTTGTGATACTTCAGGGCGTCGACAAATAATTTCATTTTGAATCAGACACATACTTTACTGAAACAATCTATTCGGAGCAATTTTTTGACAGCACTATTAAATTCTCTTCCAGTGGACCCAATATCGTACCCGAACCCAAACCCGGTACCCTTTGGCCGTCTCATCCTGCTTTTCTCTGCGTTGGCCTGCTGTGTATTGGCCGTTGGCTTCTTGCATCTGAGGTTCGGCCTCCGAGTGCGGGTGCACCTCAAGGACAGTTTCGGACCTCTGGAAAATCGAGAAGGCGATGGTGGCGACGTGCTTATCGTCCATTCCTCTCAGGACTCGGAGATCGCCCTTGGGGTACTGCTTGTCGATCTGGAAAAGTATCAGTATAAGTGCGAGACCAAGGAGTTGGACACCAACACCACCAAGTGTAAGTATTGGTTTTGTTGATTGATTTGTATATTGTGAGTTGATTATTTATTGCTTGCTACTCATTGACGTGAAATCTTAAGAATCTCTGCAAAAAAAATCATAGAAAATTCTATGGTGTTCTTCAAATTTTAGAACGCTTCATAAACTTCGTCTTTTGAGTATCTGATCATTTTTACCGTAATCAAATTTTTTTCTTTGCTAATTTAAAAAAAAATGGAATTCATTTTTCGCGATTAATCAAATTTCAGAACACTTCAGAAACTTCGTCTTATGACTATCTGATCATTTTTACTGTAATCAAACATTTTTCGAGTCCTAACTTTTTTAATAACTCCGTAATTCATTTTCGGGCGTTTTTGAAATTTGAGAACACTTTCAAAACCGTCTTCTGTAAAAAAAATCATAGAACCTTTTTTGGTGTTCTTCAAATTTTAGAACGCTTCAGAAACTTACTCTTTTGAGTATCATTTTTCGAGTCTTATGTTTTTAATAATTCCGTAATTCATTTTTCGGCGTTTTTTAAATTTTAGAACGCTTTCAAAACTTCCTTCTGCAAAAAAAATCATAGAAAATTCTATGGTGTTCTTCAAATTTTAGAACGCTTCATAAACTTCGTCTTTTGAGTATCTGATCATTTTTACCGTAATCAAATTTTTTTCTTTGCTAATTTAAAAAAAATTGGAATTCATTTTTCGGCATTGATCAAATTTTAAAACACTTCAGAAACTTCGTCTTTTGAGTGTCTGATCATTTTTACTGTAATCAAACATTTTTCGAGTGCTGAATTTTTTAATAATTCCGTAATTCATTTTTCGGCGTTTTTGAAATTTTAGAACGCTTTCAAAACCTCCTTCTGTATAAAAAAATCATAGAATCGTTTTTGGTGTTCTTCAAATTTTAGAACGCTTCAGAAACTTAATCTTTTGAGTATCTGATCATTTTTCGAGTCTTATCTTTTTAATAATTCCGTAGTTCATTTTTCGGCGTTTTTTAAATTTTAGAACGCTATCAAAACTTCCTTCTGCAAAAAAAATCATAGAAAATTCTGTGGTGTTCTTCAAATTTTAGAACGCTTCATAAACTTCGTCTTTTGAGTATCTGATCATTTTTACCGTAATCAAATTTTTTTCTTTGCTAATTTAAAAAAAATTGGAATTCATTTTTCGGCATTGATCAAATTTTAAAACACTTCAGAAACTTCGTCTTTTGAGTGTCTGATCATTTTTACTGTAATCAAACATTTTTCGAGTGCTGAATTTTTTAATAATTCCGTAATTCATTTTTCGGCGTTTTTGAAATTTTAGAACGCTTTCAAAACCTCCTTCTGTATAAAAAAATCATAGAATCGTTTTTGGTGTTCTTCAAATTTTAGAACGCTTCAGAAACTTAATCTTTTGAGTATCTGTTCATTTTTCGAGTCTTATCTTTTTAATAATTCCGTAGTTCATTTTTCGGCGTTTTTTAAATTTTAGAACGCTATCAAAACTTCCTTCTGCAAAAAAAATCATAGAAAATTCTGTGGTGTTCTTCAAATTTTAGAACGCTTCATAAACTTCGTCTTTTGAGTATCTGATCATTTTTACCGTAATCAAATTTTTTTCTTTGCTAATTTAAAAAAAATTGGAATTCATTTTTCGGCATTGATCAAATTTTAGAACTCTTCAGAAACTTCGTCTTTTGAGTACCTGATCACTTTTACCGTAATGAAACATTTTTCGAGTGCTAATGTTTTTAATCATTCCGTAATTCATTTTTCGGCGTTTTTAAAATTTTAGAACGCTTTCAAAACTTTCTTCTGTAAAAAAAATCATAGAACCTTTTTTGGTGTTCTTGAAATTTTATAACGCTTCATATATTTCGTCCTTTGAGTATCTGATCATTTTTACCGTAATTAAACATTTTTCAGTGCTATATTTTTAAAAAAATCCGTAATTGATTTTTCGGCGTATTTCAAATTTTAGAACGCTTTCAAAACTTCCTTCTGTAAAAAAATCATAGAACATTTTTTGGTGTTCTTCAAATTTTATAACGCTTCATAAACTTCGTCTTTTGAGAATCTGATAATTTTTAACGTGATCAAATTTTTTTCGAGTGCTAAATCTAAAAAAAAATCGGAATTTATTTTTCGGCACTTTTCAAATTTTATAACGCTTCGGAAAACTGCGTCTTTTGAGTATATGATAATTTATAATTTTTATCGTAATCAAATTTTTTTCGAGTGCTAAATCTAAAAAAAAAATCGGAATTTATTTTTCGGCATTTTTCAAATTTTATAACGCTTCCGAAAACTGCGTCTTTTGAGTATCTGATCACTTTTACCGTAATTTTCCGATTGCTAATTTTTTTAAAAAATCCGCGATTTATTTTTCGGCGTTTTTCAAATTTCAAAACGCTTTCAAACCTTCCTCCTGTATGCTTATTAACATTATTGTTTGAACTACACATGAATTCGGAACTTTGCGGCGTTTTCAAAATTTGCAACGCTTCCAAAAATTCGCCTTTTGAGTTTCTGTTCCATTTTGGACGTAGTAAATTTTTTTTCCGAGTGGCCAACATTTTTAAAATATTTGAAACTTCACTTTTCCTTGGCATTTTCAGCTTCCTAATCACTGAAGGGCAAGGTCAAACTTTTTTCTGGGGACAAGACACGAGTCGGAATTTTATTAATCAGTGTTAGCAAATTATCAAACGCTTCAAAAAATTCGTCTTTCGAGTTGTTGATAATTTTTAGGTGTAGTAAAATTCTTTGCCGACTGGTCTTGAACTTTTAAAATTTACGGAACTTTATTTTCCACGTTTTTAAACTTCAAACAAATTTGGAACTTTTCAGAATGCTTCCCAAAATTCTTTTTTTGACTTTCTGATCGATTTTGGACGTAGTAATTTTTTTTTTCTGAAGTGCCAACATTTTTAAAATATTCGAAACCCTTTTCCACATTTTCAGCTTCTTAATTATTGAAGGCCATAATCAACCTTTTTTTGGGATCAAACATGGATTCATTAATCGGTGTTTGCAAAATTCGTTTTCGAGTTCTTGATCATTTTTGGGCGTAGTATTCGAAAAATTACTTTTCGACATTTTCGCCTTCCTAATCATTGAAGTCATATATTTTTTTCAGGCGTCATAACACGAATTCGAAACATTATTACTAGTGTTTGCAAATTATATAACGCTTCTAAAAATACGTCTTCCGAGTATCTCACCATTTTTGGGCGTGGTCGATTTTTTTTTGATAGATAGATAGGATATCGGGAACTTTATTTGTAACCGTTTTTAAAAATTTTAGGATGTTTCCAAAACTCCATCTTCCGAGTTTCTGATATTTTTTTTTTTCAATTTCTCGAAGGATAAAAAGGTTCTTTTTAAAAAATGCTACTCTTAGCGACCTTTAGCTCTTTCGTACGAAATAAAGTTGTTATTATAAAAACTAAAAAAAGAAATCGATTTTCTGAATTTTCCAACTTCTTGGTCTATCTAGGACGTAGTCAAAAATCATTTAGGGGGCTCTGACATTTCGAAAGTAGACACATTTCGCTCAGCAATAATAAGATAACGTTGAATATTGAAAAGATAATGAGCGAGAAATACTTTTTCACTGGACTATGAATAAATCTTGCGCTGTCAAATTATGCAAAACTTAGCATGCACACTTCTCCGATACACATGTAATAACAGGTCCAGATCTAGTGTCTGATATGATTTCGAAAGTTCCACGAATGAATTTCGTAGTAGATTTCTCGGAAGGAATGATCGCGAAACGTCAATCAGAAATAAGTTATCGGAAATGTAACCGGCAATTACCCAAAAGAAAATTTGAGCTCAGTGGTACGTTCAGTATTTTTTACTTTTGACCAAATTATATATGTACATGCTGTATTTTAAATTGAAAAATATATTTCGTGTCAGCTGAAGATGAATGTGTTGCGTATGTGGATGACGCTGACGTATCCGAAAAAAAGTTATGGAGGGGGCTCACTATTCAGGTTCAAGAACAAGTCTCGGAGGGGGAGAGGGGTTATCAGTAATTGAAATAGTAATAGTTATATATATATATATATATATATATATATATCAAGGATGAAAAAGATTTGTAGTTCTTGAAAATTGATCACGTGTCGACGAAGCTAGGGACACAAAAAAAAAATAAAATAAAATTCGCTTGGAAAAAGTTTTTTTGACTTGTCAGAAGCTTCTGCTTATTTTTGGACAGTTTTCTGAGGAAGTGAAATTTTTGCCATTAATATATTTCTACGTTTATAATCCCGCAAACTTGGACATATTCCACACAGATTTCTCCTTACATAGACCCTTAAGGCTTAAAATGATATTTTTAATACCTGCGTTGATCGCAACGACGTTCAGAGTTAACCTACTTGTCGCTATTTCTACAAATCAGATCACCAAACCAGGCATTTGCACTATCATATATACAAAACTAAACATGCGTATCATACAAAGCGCCGTAGTAATTAATTTTCCGAGAATTTTCATCAAGGATAAAAATAACTCTTTTACAATGGTGTGAAAATCCAATCCCTCTAATTAGTTTTTCTGTTTTCTGCACTTCCCTGAAATGGACGTCCCGGAAAAAAAAACAAAATAATTAAAAGGCAAATACGTTGATTGAAATAAGTCCGTAAGTTCAAAGATAGCCTCTGGAAAAACAGTTTTAATTCGGAGAATTTTCATTTCCGTTTATATTCCGTGACTCTGAAAAATAACAACAAAACGGCTGTTGCGCTATTCGTCCATAGGTGGCGCTCACTGTGTGTGGGCTACAAAAGCAAATTTTCGATATTTTTAAAAATTGTACCCCTCCTCGATTACCCTTAAAAGTGTTCAGAAAGTTATAAATCATACAAATACAATCTCCCAAATGGATTTACGTGTCACAGTCTTTGCAAAAACGTACAATTTTGCAGAAAGTTTGCCGATGACCCCCTCTGAATAAGAAAACTTTCTGCGGGCTCTCTTGGTCAATACGTGACAATTTATATTATTCAACCTTGTGTAAGAATCTATACTTCAAATTTTAATATTAAAATATCTTTTTCAGGGTACACGAGCTTAAAAGACGATTCAGAAAAATTCCATCGAATCGTAGCTGTCTTCTCTCCAGCCTTAGTGGACCAGCAATGGGACTCTGATCACGTTCTTCATGCCATCAAACAATTGCAGACGCTCACTCCCAAACTCATCGTAGTGGCCTTGAAGGAACTTCCCAAGGACGAAGCTCAACCTAAGAACTCGCAGGGTGAAACACTAGCCACAATAACCAGGTATGATACGAATCGTTTGCTAAGTCCTCACATCGAATATATATATATATATATATATATAAAAATTAAAGCTTCCGCCTTTTGTTGGGTACTTCGACAAAATTTAAGCAAAGAGGACTCTTTATACTTTTTTTAATTCTCTCTAGCTTTCAATGGACTTTGCCATCATCATCAGGAGCTGCAATTACAATGATAACAGTAGCAACAATAGTGTAAAATGAATTTAGATTGACTTAACTTACAGTAGTATGTGAGGATGTTCTACACAGACATTGACAACCTTCGGCCTTCTGTCAACGGGTTCATCTCACTCATTATTCCATGACCACCATTTGTTGCAATCATCAAGTGGCTTCACGATGTAATGCTTTCATGTTCTAAAAAAAAAAATAAAATTTAATCTGTTATTAACTTGTTCTTGTCACACATTTGTGTGTATTTTATATAATTTTGACCATTGTACCATCTATCCAGCTTTCACCATGTTACTGGACGTTTCCCTCATCCTGAACGTAAACAACAATTAGCAACATCCTCACATACGTAAGTTGTTGCTACTGTTATCATTGTAATTGCAGCTCCTGATGATGATGGCAAAGTCCATTGAAAGCTAGAGAGAATTAAAAAAAGTATAAATGAGTCCTCTTTGCTTAAATTTTGTCGAAGTACCCAACAAAAGGCGGAAGCTTTAATTTTTCACCTAACTGGTCTAGACGACAATGACCACGTCTCAATATATATATATATATATACCTAGACGACAATGACCACGTCTCAATATATATACATATATACCTTGAGACGTGGTCATTGTCGTCAAGACCAGTTAGGTGAAAAAATTAAAGCTTCCGCCTTTTGTTGGGTACTTCGACAAAAATTTTTAAGCAAGGAGAACCCTTTATACTTTTTTTTTATTCTCTCTAGCTTTCAATCGACTTTGCCATCATCATCAGGAGCTGCAATTACATTGATAACAGTAGTAACAATAGTGTAAAATGAATTTAAATTAACTTAGTATGTGAGGATGTTGCTAATTGTTGTTTACGTATATATATATATATATATTTATTATATATGTTCATAGAAAGTACACTTTTCCAAAATAAAATTAATTTATCATTTTGAGAAATATGAAAAGTTCTTTCGAAAGCCCCTCGTATGCACTATACCTGAAAATTTGGCAATAATTTTTAAACTTCCGCATTCTTTCATGACATACATCTGTCATCTGTCTACCACGTCACATTTCCGTGTTCATTCGCTGTTACTACGTGCAACAAGTAGACCGGGTTAGAAAGGAATTTGCTATCTCCCCAAATGCGTTAGTTTTTTTTAAGAACTTGATTGTTTTCCAATTTTTAATTTGTTCGGGTTTATTATTACAACAAACCCGATGTGTCCGGTCTTTTTAGCTGCAACCTCACCGACGAGTCATTAAATTGAAAATTTAAACCTGTTCTAAATTGGTTGCTATTTACATAATTGTGTTTTAGCTCCTGAAGATGACAACATAGTTTGTCGAAAGCTCGAGATTACCGTCAAAAGTGTTTCACTAAGTTTTAAGTTTTGCCAATCCCCAATAAACAATTTAAATGTATTTTTGCACAACTGGTCGTTGGCAATGGCAATGACTACTGATACATATATATATATATATATATACAGGGTGACTTCGAAGTTGAGTCATTTATTTTAATAGTGAGTAGATCTGATCAAAAGAAATGTTTTTTTCCTTTACCATTTTTCTGGTAAAATTAAAGTAACAAAGTTATAGCCCTTTGGAAGCTTGAGTACCGCCCTGTCTCAATAATAATATTATGTGCTCGTGTTTGGCGACAACGGATATAATCCGCCGTATCGGTTCATCCCGTCGGAAACAAAAAAGCGAAAGAATTTGGAACGATGTTTTTACAATTATTTTATTCATTTGTATACAGTCAGTGTCAGTGAATAGTGTGTTGCGTGGCTCAAACGAAATAAAAAATGGCACATGTTTATGCGGATCGGTTTCCCAATCGAGTGCAACCAACCCCTCGTGCCTTTGTTAATGTAGTACAACGGGCTCGTGAATCATGTGACTTAAGACCTCACAGGGGACCTCACGATCAAATACAGGTCCGCACTAAAATACTTGTCGGGAGGATACTTTATAAAACAAGGTAAACATTTTTTTTTTATTTTTACACACATATTTTGGTTTATCTTCCTTCTACAATCATTATGTGAAAATTAATGACTCAACTTCGAAGTCACCCTGTATATATATATTGACGGAATTTCAAAAAACAAATTAGGGCACCACCCTACTTGTGACGGAAAAAAGGAGTCATATTCATTGCAAAATAAATGAGGATTCCAAAACTATTCTTTTTAAAAAAAAACCAATGGCGTACCATTTTTTTTAAATCTCCAGTATAGATCCCGTACGGACGCCACCAGTATTGGAGCGTAGTGTCAGATTTCATGAAAATATCTATAATCTGTTGTGATAAGCAAAAGATTTTTTTCTTAAAATGTTAACACCCTGTAGCTCAACAGTTAAGAGGTTGAGGACATACGTTCATATAAACCTTTCTTCCTAAAATGAGCTAAGGAATCATATCCTGTATCTTTAGACATCAATTAAATTACACCCTGTATTTATTTAGCAAATAGAGAAACAGATATGACACATTCTTATAGATGGCGCTACAGTAGCTCATTTTATCTCAGATATTTTTTTGGACGCGGGAATATAGCATTAGGTTAGCTATCTTCAGATATTTGTTAATCAGTGCATCAACCAAGATGAATATTTTTACATTGTGATAAGCAGCATGATACAGTTCTAGTGGGCATCGACCTTTAATCCGAAGAATCTTCGTATTGCTAACAAATTGTTTCTTTTTTCAGATCAGTGCCAATGTTGCAATGGACGAGACGAGACAACGAGAAGTTCTGGTACGCATTAAGGCTGGAACTTCCGGCGAAAAGAAACACAGTGAACCATCAAATCTCGAGCGATAAAGAAACAAGACTGACTGATAGTTGTAAAGATACCAACGTTGATGATATCGTTTAAATTTTAGTAATGAGTGCCCTAGTAGCTTCGATCATCGAGAGCACATATGAAACGAGAATGTTTATGAACAAAAAAGTATCGAAAATGCGTCTTTCATAACTGTAGTCCAAGTTCTCAGGTACCACGAACCACCCCAATTCGCATCAGTCTGTATACATCGTGTGGCAATTAAATGCAGGGAATTTAAGAAAAAAACGTACAAATATGTTTAGGTCAAAATTGCATCGTCTATCGTTACAATGGTGCCGATTTTTCAATTATCAATTTTTGTACATCAGAGCCAGACTAGGTTAAGTCCAAATAAGTAGTTTTGAGATAATTGAATTTGAAATATTTTTCTTGTATTGTAGCATGAGTTAAAAAATCATAACTTCCTTATTATTACAGATAGATGGATGCTGAAAGTAGCAAATGTAAATTCACAATAATTGTCATTAGCTTAACAGATTGAAGTCACTTTTGACAAAAATCGACTATTCTGTGTCTTAGACAACAAATAAATATTTTCTATATACGCCACTGTGTACGAGATTATGTGCTGAATGTACAAGAAAAATCTGGTAATCCTGGTTCAAAAATGTTTTCCTTGCGTTACCCACCTCTATTTTTCCGATGATGAAAAAATTCTGTTTATGCAAATATTATGCCTAGCGGAAGCATCGGTGTTGAAAAAAAGAGAATCCTGAATTTCCTGAGAAACTTGTGACTAGTAAAAAGTCGGTGATTGCTGTTATTGAAAGCTACATTGGTGCTGTATATTAAATACAGGGTGTCACAAATTCGAGTGTGTATACATACATTTGAAACCTTCCCACCACGTATTTATTAATAAGTAAAAGAAAAAACGTCTAATGATTTGTCACGGGGGAAACTTTTTAACCAAAAATTACTTCTCCTCCTTCCACCCTCTGCTCCCCAGGGTCATTCTCTTTAAAGTTTTGAATGACAAGGGGTATCGGTAATAGCTTGTTTGAAAGGTCTTTCGAAGTCCTCTATTTTGACATTTGATTTTTTAAAATCGGTCTATTCGTCTTCGAGAAAATTAGAATAATCTTTTTTATCTTAATTTGTTCAGATAGCAAACAAAAACACACGAAAATATCACTTTTTATTTCAATGCGTTCAAAATGGTGTCTGTTATTGGCCAAACATATAGGCGATGTTCAAATTCCTGACGGACATTTTCAAAAACATGTTGTGGGATGTCATGGCAGCTTTCGATGATGCGCTGACGAAGTTCATCCAAACTTTTAGGTTGGAAAGTAAACACAATAGATTTCAAATGGCCCCCTAGAAAAAAGTCTAATGGCGTCAAATCAGGAGATTTGGCAGGCCATCCTATAGGCCCTCTTCGCCCTATCCATTTATCTGGTAACTCGTCGTCTAGCCATTGCCGAACCGGAAGAACATAGTGAGGAGGACTTGTTGGAAATATATTTCAGCCTCATCTAGTATAGGGTTTTCATCCTCTTCGATTTGGTTTTAAATGGTTTCAGTCATAAGCCGATTGATGATATTTCCCAACATATCCAAATAAATGTCTCCATTCAAATTCCCATTAATAAACAATAGCGCAATCAATTTGTTTCCTAAAATGCCTGTCCTTACATTAATTTTTTGAGGGAACTGGATATAAATATATATATATATATATATATATATATACAAATATATATATATATATATATATATATATATATAGGTGAAAAATTAAAGCTTCCGCCTTTTGTTGGATACTTCGACAAAATTTAAGCAAAGAGGACTCTTTATACTTTTTTTAATTCTCTCTAGCTTTCAATGGACTTTGCCATCATCATCAGGAGCTGCAATTACAATGATAACAGTAGCAACAAAAGTGTAAAATGAATTTAAATTGAATTAACTTACAGTAGTATGTGAGGATGTTGCTAATTGTTGTTTTCGTATAGGATGAGGGAAACGTCCAGTATTATGGTGAGAGCTGGATACATGGTACAATGGTTAAAATTATATAAAATATGACAAGACAAGTTAAAGAGAGATTAAAAATTATTTAGAAAACATTAGAGCATTACGTCGTGAAGCCACTTGATGATTGCACAAAATGGTGGTCATGGAATAATGAGTGAGATGAACCTTTGACAGAAGGTTGTCAATGTCTGTGTTGAAAGATGGAACGAATTGTGGGCGTGTGCCAAAACGTTGCCAAATCACTTCAGATGATGAGATTTTCAGAATGTTATGTAAGAAATTGTTAAACCGACCAGAGGCAGTTGAATAAACTATATTTTAATTAATGGGAATTTTGAATTAATAAAATTAATAAATTCCCATTAATTAAAATATAGTTTATTCAACTGCCTCTGGTCGGTTTAACAATTTCTTACATAACATTCTGAAAATCACATCATCTGAAGTGATTTGGCAATGTTTTGGCACACGCCCACAATTCGTTCCATCTTTCAACACAGACATTGACAACCTTCGGCCTTCTGTCAAAGGTTCATCTCACTCATTATTCCATGACCACCATTTTGTGCAATCATCAAGTGGCTCCACGACGTAATGCTCTAATGTTTTCTAAATAATTTTTAATCTGTCTTTAACTTGTCTTGTCATATTTTATATAATTTTAACCATTGTACCATGTATCCTGCTCTCACCATGTTACTGGACGTTTCCCTCATCCTATACGAAAACAACAATTAGCAACATCCTCACATACTACTGTAAGTTAATTCGATTTAAATTCATTTTACACTTTTGTTGCTACTGTTATCATTGTAATTGCAGCTCCTGATAATGATGGCAAAGTCCATTGAAAGCTAGAGAGAATTAAAAAAAGTATAAAGAGTCCTCTTTGCTTAAATTTTGTCGAAGTACCCAACAAAAGGCGGAAGCTTTAATTTTTCACCTAACTGGTCTAGACGACAATGACCACGTCTCAAGTTATATATATATATATATATATATATATATATATCCTTTAATTTCTTTGGGTAGAAGGCAAAGTATTGCAAAAGTACACTCTTATAACTTAAACTCTCAAGCTTTCGAAGATCTATGTCTTCATCGTCTGGAGTAAGTCGGCGAGATTGTTGCTGAAATTGTTTTTAAACAACAGTGAAGGGAACACATAGTCGACGAATAAAAAATTGGACTGATGAGGTTCGATTAGGACGGAATTATTTTATTATTAGATGGCAAATCATATTTAAAGGTTTTTTCTAAATTAAACGTTGATTGATTTTGGAAGAAATTTGGAGATTTTAAAACTATCAACTATTGAAAATTCCCTCGAGATTTCATCTTTTTTCCACTGATAACATAGACATTATCCATATAATATGTCTTGCTTTGATTTCTTCCCTTGTGCCCGGTTTTCTTGTGAATGTTGATCCCAACCAGACAAATTGATCGACCTCGTCAAAATTATACCTTTATGCTCCTGTCATAAAATCATCACTTGTCCATCTCATATATTTAGTTTTTTCCTGGTTTGTCATTAGACCCTTTTCCTTTGCTTTCTCTTTAAGAGTTTTTAGTACTTGTATCAATTCTCTTTTGCTTCTAGCAACAATTGCAATTGTCATCTGCGAGCGCTAAACATTGGTGCTTTCTATTGTATAATAAACCATTCCTATTTAAATTTGCTGCTCTGATTATATCTTCCAATACATAGTTGAATAAAACTGTTGACAACGGATCCCCTTACCGCAACCCCACTTTTACCTTGAACTTTTCCTCTAACTTTTATTCTATTTTCCGTTTCCTGAAGTGTCAACTTTATTAGCCTTATAATCTTTTCACTATTTCCTAGTCCTCTTAGTGCTTGGCATACTGCCGATCTTCGGATTGTATCATATGCTTTTTTGAAGTCTATAAACACTACATATGTCTCTTTCTGATGTTGATAACTCTCAGCCTAGATCTCTCTAAGCGAAAAAAATCGGTCCACCACTCCCCACTCCTATTCTTTCTAACATTTTCGATGAAAGTCTACTCTTAATACAGGTAGCTAGCACTTTATATCCAACATTCAATAGGGCTATCCCTGTATAGTGTTTTTATCACCTTTCTTAAACATTGGGCTTATTAACGCCTCACTCCATTCACGCGTCATTCTTTCTGTTTCCCAAATTTCCCCTATCAAACTGTGCATTACCTCAATAACTTTGTCGCCTGTGACTTCATCTATACCAGCACTTTTATTTGATTTCAAGCTTCCTAGAATCTTTTTTATATCATCTAGGTCTGGTTTATCATCCAACTCCGTTTCATGTTCCTCAAAATCGTTAATTCCGTGCTCGTCGTCTTCCCGAAAATTTTCATTCTGGAACTGGACATGTCCTTCTATAAAAGCATGACGGTTTTCATTGCTCCAATACTTGCGGTTGTGCCTATTAACAAATCCATTTAGATAAAATGTGCATAAATCACTGAAGCAGATATTTTTTACATGAATGGTATTATCATTAATCGCTGCAGTTATGTGATCACAAAACCCAACTCACCTATTAAAATTATCTTCGGTTAACTCTTGCAATATTTTCATTTTGAATGGATGAAATTTATGGAGTTTAGTAAATGTGTGTACAGAGCCTACTGAAATACCAGTCACAGCAACAATTTTGCCTATTGAAGTATTAGGATTTATTCCAAAATGACCCAAAACTTCAACTTGTGCGGACAGACTAAAAATTCTCCGATGATCATGTTTTTTATTTGCAACAGATCCAGTTTGAGTAAATTTAGTAATAAGGTCCACAACATACCTACGCGAAGTTATCTTTCCCTGATGTCTGGCGTTATTCCCTTTCCTTTGGCTAGTGTGTAAACTATTTTGGAAGTAAAATCTGAATCAATAAATCAATTTTCACTATCCCAAGATTGTCACAAAGGTTGCTGACAGCAAATTAAATACTTTCTTCCCCTTAGGAACAAATAACTAAACACGTTTTGAATTATAAACGAATTGTAGATTTTGCAAACCCTAACGGGCTACATTTTGAACACTTATTGAAATAAAAAGTGATATTTTCGTGTCTTTTTGTTTTCTATCTGAACCAATTCAGATAAATAAACATTTTACTAATTTTCTCGAAAACGAATCGACCGATTTTAAAAAATCAAACGTCAAAATAAAGGACTTCGAAAGACCTTTCAAACAAGCTATTACTCGATACCCCTTGTCATTTAAAATATTTAAGGGAATGACCCTAGGAGCTGAGGGTGAAAGGAGGTAAAATAATGTTTGATTAAAAAGTCCCCCTTGACAGATCATTTAACGTGTCTCGGCGTTTTTTCTTTTAATTGATGGTTGTCGATAAATCCGTCGTGGGAAGTTTTCAAATGAACACCCTGTATAGGGATCACAAAATAAGTGTGTAAGTACAGCGGTTGGACGTTTCTTCTCGTTTTCCAAGCCTCTCTGTTTTGCTATAGTTCATTATCTAGTTGTCTTTTCTTATTGCTTCAGCTATCTTTTGATCCCAAGTTCTTTTTGGTCTCCCCCCTTTTCCTTTTAAATCGTGGTTTCTATTTCCACAATTTTTGGGGCTAGTTTCAGTCTTCAGACAGTTTTCTCATCATTTGTTTTGTTTCTGTACGATCTGTAAAAGTTGTTTGCGCATCCATGCTTTGTCTCGTCAGTCGTTCCTACAATTGTAGGGTGCCTTTATGGCCTCCTTGATTGTCATAGTCTTTTCTGTCCTTCAGAAAGGCTGTGGTGTTTCTAGGTTTCTACTATTCCATGACAGCGTCAGCGCTCTCCTATTGTGAGGTTATGTTTTTTAATGTCAAGGAATTTCAGGCTGATCAAACACATGAAAGAAAATAGAGCCCGACACGAAAGAGTATAAATCTAGAAACACCCCTGCCTTTCTGAAGGATAGGAAAAACTATGAAAATCAAGGAGGCCATAAAGGCGTCCTACAATTGTGGGAACGACTGACGATATGACCCTTAAATCTTCAGTCTTCTCAGAAGCATCATTTCGGTGGCACTGATTCTACTTCCTAATATTTCGTTCACGGTCCACGCTTCCAGTCCAAAGGCGATTGCTTTCTATACAACTGGAAGGTATTTGTTTTTCTTTTGTTATTGTCATTCCATAGTATTGATGGCGACTTTTCCATTTCTAATTTTCTCATATCTATCTTGGTCATCTCTGCCATCCCTAGTGATTTTTGGTCTAGGCGGAGGAGGATCTATAAGTATCTCTACTTATCGTAGTAGGGTGTGTGGGCCCTGCAATAATGTCAGCAATAAAAACACTACTGAACGATAAACACACAAACTTTATTAAACCACCATACGCGAATAAACATGTTGTCCGCATCCTACTGTCATCTGTTTCTTTCCTGTCAACTGTCAACGATCACACGTCAGTGACCGTGTCATCCGGCAAATACAAGTGCTTGAATTTCAAATTTGAAAATTTTATTACTGCATTATATTCTTTTGTATGCTTTATTATTCCTCGGTCTGTAGCGCCCAACCTTCCCTCCTATCACCACATACGGACTTCTACGCATGTTAATTTCTCAGCCCCACTTTTCAAATTCCTCGACCAGTTTTTTGATCACTATCTTCATCATCTGCTACAATTGCTTCATCACCAGCAAACTACCATCCATTTGAACCCTCAGCATCCAGTTTCAGTTGCTTAGTCAATAATTTTAAACAAATTACAGAAACAAGGCCAAAAAAAGACATCTAGATAAGTATTATTTATAGGCGTTAAGCAAAATAACCTCATATTTTTTTATCGCTTTCAAAACTGCGGGGGTATCTGAGAAAGCTGAACCTTGTAGAGTGTCCCTAAGGTGTTCTTTGTAGACTCTCGAATTTGATACAGCCTGTTTAGGATATAGATATATGTATATATTATCTTAATATTGTCTCCTGTTGAGGCCACAAAAGCTCTATTAAGACTGTCGAATAATTTTCGATCTAGACGTTTTCAAAATACGGTATTTTCGTTTGATTTTGAGAAGAGAAAATCGCCAGAGAAGCCTTTTGAATGTACGAAAAAATATTTAAAATAAAGAGATTTCTCCAAAGGAAATATGATACAAGTTATTCCTTTGATTTTGATGTGTGTTTATACTCCAAAAGTATTTTTTAATTCTTTGGATGGATGTATAGAAATCTGAACAACGCTTGTGACCGACTTGTATATTTTTTTACTATAAGAATTTTTGTATCTTTCTGTCAAGACTATAAAAATCTTTCAAGAATATTGTGATTTTTTTCTAATAATGTCTTTAGTAGTACCTAAATGTATTGAAAATAAATGTTATGTAATTGTGTATACGAACGTGTTTTATTCTACCTTAAATATATCGCGTATTTTCTTTCTTCTTTGTCGTTACTCATTGAAATGTGTGAGGCGTGTGTTAGCAAGACATTTGCTGCGGCATCTATCGAAGAGTACCTGAAACAAATTATCTACATAACTGTAGTGCTCGGGAAATGTTCATAAATGGGTAAGGCGTCCATGAAATTGTTCAGCAGAATGGATCGATCATACTTAATGTATGAAATATCAAGACTTGTTAGGCCCGTATCGTCAGTCGTTCCTAGAATTGTAGGACGCCTTTATGGCCTCCTTGATTTTCATAACCGCATGTCATCTACAGTAAGGTACTTGCATGTACTGCTCTCAATCTTAAATTTACAATCTTGTAACATAAAACATCTAAGCCTCCTGCAACACGCACGATGCGCTGGCCGAGTACTAGTTGCCTAATTTCAATACGCGATATTGTAGTCTTTAAATCGGTCCACAGATAGCGCTTGCATCGCCGACCTGTGGAATTACCAATACTCGTAGCACAATCGATGTGTAGTCACAGTGACTTGTTTAATTAAGCAATGTTGCCAGATCATACAGTTTTTATCGAGTTAGACGATTAAAGCGCTCGACTGAATTGGGTTTTCCGTCATTCAATACTTTGGTTGTTACAATGGGTGCACGTAGTTTTTAGAGGGTCGATATTTTTTGTTGCTGCAGCCTGTAGTTTCAAACAATCGCTTGGGCGATCGTCTCAAGTTACGTAAGTGCCCTTAGGCTTACAGCAAGCTTGAGGCCTGCGGCAGAAAGGGTCCCAGGGTGCAGAGCGAAATGCGCATGCAACATGCACACATTCTGGCTCCGCCTACGAGATCCGCCGGGTGGTACCTCCGCGTTCGACAGTTAGAGACCGTCTACCACCTACGGACGATCACAACATCCATAGCCAAGAGAAAAATTTCTCCTGGGACGGGACTCGAACCCGCACAGCGCACGGCGACTGATCAGGAGACCGAAGAGTCTACTACTGCGGCCACCGCTGCTGCCTGAGGAAAACTGAAGAGTGGATGAGGCGAGGGATCATACTTAGACATTGATTTTTGGTATTTGGGGCCCCTCATCAAGCTTGAGCCTTATGGCAGGGCACTTTGTCGATACATACTTCATTACACATCTCAAAGACAGCCATACAGAAGCCAAAGTGTCAGCAGTAGTGTGTCAAGGAAATTTCCAATAAATGTATTTTTTTTATGGCGGATCCAGAACTTTCAAATTCTCATATGCATACGATAGAACGTTGAAAGCTACGATCAGCTCTAATTATGAGAAAAATCGGAATTGGGTAAATTCATGACGAATGGTGGAAAAACTGAATTCAATATTGCGGTGACCTCGTACTAGGATTGCAAGCCAACGCGGTGCTTCTCTCATTATAAAGCACGTATTGCATGCTTCTCGCGCTTCTCTCTCGTACACATCGACATCAGTCGTATTTGATTTTCAGTGTAGATTTTAGACAATTTAAGAAGTTAACTGGCAACACTGGTCGGGCGTACATTACGAGTATGCGTCGAGCATCGGAAGTCCGAGCCTGCAATTAGGGAAGGTTGTTTTCATCATTGGCCGCCGAGTGAAAAGTGCCGTCGAGTAAACTAACTAGATTATCTACAAAGATAAAACACGTGTTCCACGGTTGAAATTATCGAAATATTTTTCGGAAATAATCAGTGCCCTAATAGAACAGCAGATATATTTAATCGGCGACATGAGAACAGTAACGTGCATCGAAAATATGTTCTAGAACTTGTAGCTAAATTTCGGGAAACTGGGTCAGTCGCCAATAAAAAACGCAACATTGAAAATCCCATAAGGAACGAAGCAATTGAAATGGGGGCTTTAGGGCAAGTTTATGTAGATCCTACGTCAAGTACCCGCAAATTGGAGACTGTGTGTGGTGTTAGTCGACGTACTGTCCAACGGATTCTAAAGGCCCATAGTTTTCATCCCTATAAAATTCACCTCGTACAAGAACTTAATGAAGACGATTTTGATCGGCGATTACAATTTTGGGAAGATATGAGTGAACGAATTATAAACGATGAACATTTTCTATTCAACACTTGCTTCTCAGACGAATGTTCCTTTTCCTTAAATGGCGTAGTAAATCGTCATAACTGCCGATATTGGCCCGATTCTAATGCCAGAATTTATCATGAGGTTCATACACAGCAGCCACAAAAATTAAATGTTTGGGCTGGTATTTTTGGCGATCATTTAGTTGGTCCTTTTTCCTTACCTGGAAATTTGACCGATGAAATGTATTTGGAATTACTGGAAGACGCCATAGATCCTGCATTACAAGCCATAATTGAAAATCAGAATGATCGGCAGTACATTGCGAATAGGTTGATGTTCCAACAGGATGGTGCCCCACCACATTACGCATTACGTGTTCGACAATATTTAGATCAGACGTTTCCAGATCGATGGATTGGTAGAAGAGGTTGAATGGCCCCCAAGATCGCCAGATTTATCAACTTTGGATTTCTTTATGTGGGGTCATTTAAAAAGTAAAATCTATGCTACTCAGCCAACATCATTAGAAGACCTGCGACAAAGAATTGTGAATGAGTGCCTATTTCTAGTATTCATACGTACCTAAAATGATTTCGTCACTCACCTTAGAAAAAAAAATTAGTAGATTGGATTTATTCTTAGTCGCCGCTTGCAATTCTTCTTCGATTCTCTTAGATACAGATCTAGTTCCTTGTCGGATTTTGCTTGTAATTATTTGTAATTTCGCCACACTTCGTTAACTAACGTACATTTTGTACTTTCGTACTCGTAAGAGATTATTTAAAAATTTTTGGTATAACTTGGATTTGTCTATGTAAAACGACATCTTTTTTAAATTTTAAACTTTGGCTAATGGAATCAATGGTACACGAATGTTAACTTGCTTTACTATGCTTACAATCCGTCTACTCGCAATAGTATCCAAACGAAACAATACACTGATAGAGGAAATTTAGACAAGTGAACACCGCGCGGTAATTCCCCTACTCGGTTCTAAAGTGAGTAGGGGAATTACCGCGCGCGGTTCACTAAACGTATGCATTATTTGCGGGAATTCCCGAAAATGCCTTTCGTTTTCAAGCGAAGACAATGTGAGGGTTGCCATTCGTGTAAAAAAGTAAATAACTACCGATGACGTAATCATCATCTAGACTCCCCTACCCCCCATGTCATCCAAAATATGCAAAGTAAAGAAACCCCCCGCCCCCCCATAGTGCTCACGTAATACTTGAACGGCAGCTAAGGGTGAAAACTACTCCCATTCCGACATAAATTATAGCACAACCTTTTGGCAATTTTCACAACGACTTTGATTTTTTATTTAAAAGAACCTTTCATATGCTTCGTTTTTTTCTCCTAAAAAAAAAACAAGCCATCCAATAATAGATGGCGCTACTTGTATCGGATATCTTTCAAAAAATGTATATCTGGTATTTTCACGAACATCATTTACCTAGAGGCAGGAATGTAGCTTCCCCTTAAGATGAATGCGATAAATAATGGAGTTTTCTCAGGCTAACAATGAAAAGAAAAAACACTTCCAGCCAGTGAGTTGGAATAAGGTCCATATGTTAATATTTTACTGAACTAAAAAATAAGGAAATGGAGGAGGAAAAATCCCAGAACATGTTATTGCTGGTTTCTGTGTTATCAGTTGTGCCAGTCGATGTGAATATCTTTCAGTAGAGTGAACGAGAATTAAAAAGGACCATGTAAAAAGCGTGGAGCGACCAACGAAGTTATTGGAGCATGAGAACAAACTGAGGCTCTTTAGAACGTCCTGAGAAATACGTGGGACAGATTATGAAAGGATGTGATGCATAATATAGACAAGACGGTTAGTGTTAAAGTTCGGGAAAAATAGCAACGCAGTATCCATGTTTCCTATCAAGAATAAGATTTATAATCTTTCCTTGAGGCTTTCTTGGAAACAATGAATCTCTCTTTGGATACAATGACGCTTCCTTGAGAGAGAGAGAAGATGTCATTGATGTCAGAAAGATTGTTAGTTGCTGGTCGTATCTAAACTGAATATAGGCAGCCACCAGTTGCACCGAACTGCTCTGTTGGTTGCAGGATGGCGCATCGAAAACGAAACAGACGCATTTACTGGCAGCTCAGTTTTTTTTTGGAAAATCGCTGAGACCCGTCGATTTTGTTTTCGAGGGGGACACAAGTTTGGCAAAAAATCACCCCGGGCGGGGGTGACATCAACCCTAAAACCTTAAATGGAAAGGGGGGTCGAGTGATACCCTGTTTTAAAGGTCTTTCAATTCCCTTTATAATGATGTAAGATACATGAGCTTCAGTGCAGTAGTTTTGAAGATTTATTGATTTAAAGCTTAAAGTAGGTACATCAGATTAGTTTGTACTACTTTCAGAAGAAATTTGACTAAAAGAATTTACTGAATAAGTAAATGGGTTTCTTCACTACACCCATGGTTTGTTTATCATTTTGTTGTTGAAAATAGCTATTGGAGCGTTTTTTTTGTGGCAAAAAAGTTATTTCTTGAAGAAAGATAAGGAAATATCTCGTACATATTTTAAATAAGAATTTAGTACATAGTTTGCGATTGATTTGACCAAACTTTGTTGCTAAAATAACTTGTAACGCGTTATTACATAATTTAACCATGGTATATTCCACAGCAGAAAGAGTTGAAATTATCGAAATATTTTTCGGAAATAATCAGTGCGCTAATAGAACAGCAGAAATATTTAATCAGCGACATGAGAACAGTAACGTGCATCGAAAATATGTTCTAGAATTTGTAGCTAAATTTCGGAAAACTGGGTCAGTCGCCAATAAAAAACGCATCATTGAAAATCCCCTAAGGACCGAAGCAATAGAAGTGGGGGTTTTAGTGCAAGTTTATGTAGATCCTACGTTAAGTACCCGCAAATTTCATACTGTGTGGTGTTAGTCGACTTACTGTCCAACGGATTCTAAAGGCCTATAGTTTTCATCCGTATAAAATTCACCTGGTACAAAAACTTAATGAAGACGATTTTGATCGGCGATTACAATTTTGTGAAGATATGAGTGAACGAATTATAAATGTTGAA